TCTTCCTAGTTGGATTCATGAACGACCTGGAAGCTTGGGCCTGGGGCTGGAATTTGATGGCGCGTGCAACCTGTTGCTGGGAATGGGATTTATTTGCTCAAGGGAGGGGGAAGGAGCAGAGGGCAATTAAATGGGGGTTTTGCGTTTTGAAAGGTGCTTAGAAGACCTCGGGCGGAGGAGGGGCCCTGCTGACACAGCCAGTGTTTTTAACACCACATCTGACTGAAACCAGCTGCCTCGGAGCAGCCAGGGCCTTTGCCATGTAAGTCCACATCGGCACCGGTTCTGAGGATCGGGATGTGGACGTGTTCCCGTGGTTACAAACGTGGGTCCTGTGGGCATCCTCATGTGAGTCCCCAAGGCCCCGTGGGCACAGAGGTGGCAGCGCTGGGCTGATAACCGGTCTGTCTCCAGAGGTAGCTGCCCCCGCACACTCCCGACCATCCACCCCAGCCTGGGTTCTGGGCCTGGTGGTGAGGAGTTTGGGGGAGGGACAGGAAGTGGCCGCCGTGAGCTGCCAGATTTCTGTCCCAGCCACTGTTTGGGCAGAATGAGTCAGCTTGGACGGAGGCCCTTGAGATAAACCCACATGGTTTTATGTCATTGTTTCTGGCAGCCTCTGTAAGGCTGCTTGACAACGAATGTCTCACACTTGCTGTGTCATCTTGGCCAAAAGGCTCCCTGTGTCACCCGGGATGCGGGGTGGAAAGCCGACCTTACATGAGCTGCTTGGAGCCAGGGCTGGGAGAGATGATGGCCTGTGGACGAGATAAGAAATTTTCAGTCTTTGCTCCTCTTCTTGGAAAAATGTTGAGGAGAGAGATACTGAGAGGGGGTGTGTGTGTGTGTGTGTGTGTGTGTGTGTGTGTGTATGCGTGCCTAGGGCTACTGCTCCAGAAGTTAGAGGGCTACTAAATATCTCCTCGAGCCGCTAGAACACCTTCTCCTGACCCCCAGACTGACACTGTGTGGAGGCCAGCAGGCCTCATTGATCTCCATTTGTAGCTACATCACAGTTTCCCTTCACCGAGGGCCTATGACATGCCCGAGCCTCAGAGACAGTGAAGACGCAGGGATGGGGGTTACGAGCATGAGCTCTGGAGTCGGCTGCTTGGGCTCAAACACCAGCTCTTCTCACTGCTCTGAGCCTAGGTTTCTTTATCTGTAAAACGGGCCCATCCCAAACTTCCTTCAGTCTACAATGTCATCAGTTAGATGATACAGCATTTACTTCATGTGCTACAAAGAAACACAGTGCCGGGGAAACTGTGGCCTGTCAGTGAATGCCGTCTCATTTCAGAGAAGATGGAATCAATTAAGTACAGTGTGAACACTCACCTAGTGGGGCTCTTTTGTCACTCTCATCCCCATTTTGCAGATGAGGAAACTGAGGTCAAAGTAACTTCCCAATATCATCCAGCAAGTAGTAAACAGTAGAAACATGATGTGGGCTCACTTGGCTGTGTGTCTCTTTAATGGCCTGAAAATCACGTCCAGTAACTGGGTACCCACACCATGGAGGACGAGATGAGGAAGATCAGGAGCAGGCTGGTCATGGCTGCGTGTCTGTGAGCCAGTCCTCTACTGCTCTGAGTCTCCATATAACACTGGGAGCTGAGCTAAGCCTCATGCATGTGCTCAGTAAGCCTTCCTCCTCTCTTCCCATCCCTTCCCCACTGCCCACCTGCAAGCAGCTTTAGGGCACCCTGTTAGCCACAGAAATCCCAAGCACAGAGCACTTGCCCTGGACACTTAGACTGACTTGGCTGGACAACCCAGGCCTCAGCACACAGGACACCTGCCTCAGGCCTCGTCCTGCTGAGAGCCCAGCCCTTGCCCTGCACCTGCTCCCCAACTCAGCCCCCGAAAGACACCTGGGTGGGCACAGCCAGCCTCGGGAGCTCCTAGCTGCTCTGCAGACACTGCCCTGGGGACAGGGAGGACGTTAGAAATGGACACCTAGGGTGTCAGTCTTGGCTTAGATTTCCTTTTAAATTCCCATGCCATGTAGTAAGTGTTCATCCTTTTCTTACCGGTTTTTTTAAGTAAACTTTTTTTGGGGAAGAATAACACCCGCCAGAGTGTCTGGATCCTAAGAGCACAGCCTATGGATTTTCACTAAATGCATCTCCATAGAACAGGCACCCAGATCAAGGCCAGGGCATCGCCGCCTGCCCTTCACGGCCCCCGCAGCCCCACGGGTCACCTCTGTGCTGACTCGAGGCACGTGGATAAGCTTTGCCCGTCTTTTTCACGTTGTATAAATTCAGTGTGAGTCTTCTGTGTCTGGCTTCTTTTGCTTAACATTTTAATGAACTTCATTCACTTCTTTTGCAGTTAGCAATGGTTTGTTTATTATGCAGAACGGTATGAATATAGTTCTTTTTATATAGATAAACGACAATTTATCCATTTTTCAGTTGATAAACATTTGTGTTAGTTCCAGCTTGGGGCTATTAGGATAGGTTGCTATTAACATTCTGGAACATTCTAGTACATTCTAGTACGTGTGTGGGTGATGCGAGTATGCATGCCTGCTGGGTACATGCTTCGTTAGGGAAGAAATTGCTGGTCGTGGGTTATTTGTATATTTCACATAGCAGACGCACCAAGCTGTGGGCATACCATTTATATCCTGCCAGTCAGCGTTAGCTTATCCCGTGGCTCCCGACGCCATGAGGTAGTAGAGGAGCAGACGTTAGCGGTTGCTGCTGGAGAGGAGGGTGTGCGCGGGAAGAAGACGGATTGGACGTTTGAAGCCTGTGACCTGTCTTGGTTTTCCTGAGCAGGGGAGTCGGAGAGTCGGGAGCCTGTTGCAGTTGTTTGCTGTGCCATCTGCCGCGAGATGGTATTTTCTTGGCTCTGCCCTGTAATGAGTGTAGGTGTCTGTTCAGGACGGAGTATCCAAGGGAGGGAATCCACCCACAGTCCCACCTTGGGAATATTTAAATGTCAATGTGGTTAATTGGCTGCGCAGCCCACCCCACCTCCAGCTCTCCCTCCCCTGCCCCCCATAGCCTCAGCAAACACACTGCCTGCTCACCCGCCTCACCAGCCATGGGGGGCAGCCTTGAGTCAGCAACCCAGACAGGTGAATCAGACTCCCTGTGAGTCAGCTACCCTGGGAATCTCACCTTAAGCAGGTGAGGAGGTGAATCTTAGAGATCATGAGCTAGCATTTTGGGTGAGTGAATGGATGGATAGAGAGATAATAGATTGTGTGTGTGTGTGTGTGTGTGTGTGTGTGTGTGTGAACTTATGTAGGCTTGCACAAGTGTGTGTTGACCATCTGCTACCTCTCTTAGTGGCCAGCATTACCTGAGTACTGACCATGTGTTAGGCATGGGCAGATGCCTACATGTCTACACACCTGATTTCATGTGATTCTCTTACAAACCCTAGAAAGCAGGAACTATTGACAGCATTTTACTAACAGTGAACCAGAGGCGAGGCTCAGAGGGTTAACTCACCTGCCGAGGGTCACACAGCCAGTAGCTGACAAGCCAGGACCTTAACCCATGGCATCTAGCTCTAGGCCCCCGTTCTCCTAACCACTCTTTACACTTCCCACCAAGTGCCAAGCATGGTACAGAGCTCCATTTCTCACTCTCACTATGCATGGTAGGAATCATTAGTTCCCTTTAACAGATGAGAAAACGGAGGGCCAGAGAGGTTAAGTCACCCACACCAAGACACACAGTCAGTAAGGAAGAGAGCTGGGATTCAGACTGAAACCATCTAATACCAGAGCTCTGACCTCACCCACACTATCTCAACCAAGTCTAGCACACAGCAAGGGCTCCGTGAATACTAAGGAAATGAATAGAATGCCTATGGCATTTTAGCAATAAAGTCATAGACCAAAGAAAAATGCAAGCTCTTATGTTGACGTAGATGGAAAATGAACTTGCCTAATGTCATTCCGGCTTCTTTCAGCCAACATTGGACCCTGTGAGCAAGACATGGTGCTAGGGCCTAGGGATGCTCCGGTGAATCTGGAACTCCATTCATTCATTCATTCATCCCCTCCCTTACTCACTCACTTGTTCATTCAGTGACTGTTTACTGAGGGCCTGGTCTGTGAGTGCCTGGTCGGGCTCACTTTGCAGGGGAAGGACAGATGTGCATGCCAGCAACTAAATGAGAAGGTGTGACTCTCACTGCATAATGTCCCTTCCCATCTTGTCATTCATCTTAAACCACTGGTCCTGGAAATGAACTCAATGAGGCTGAAAATAGTTTGAAAAACCCTCTATCTAGACAGGCATCTGGTTTGGGGGAAGTATTATTGGTGTTTACACACTTCTGTCTGAAGACTCTAATGCATCATTTGCTGATGGTAATTAGTATGCATCAGCGGCTACTTTGCTGGTCTTTTATCACTGTCCCCACAAACCGCGACTCCGGGCGAGCAGGAGCAGCTGGGATGAGTGGCCGGCATAGTGCTGTCTGAGGGGGGTCTGAGGACCCGTCCATCGTTGGGGTGTGCCCAGCTTTCCCTCCTGACACCCTGGGAGAGGAAACTCGCTAGACTCCGCAGGTGTCCTTGGAGGCTGGGGTGGGGGTGGGTGCTGGTGAAGATCCTGGAGAGCCCAGAAGAACTTCCTCCCAGACCCGCCTCCCAGAACCAGCCCGAGTTCCTGCCCCAGACTTACTATCCCAGGGGGTTACCAGGGCATGTCCACAAGTCCTCCCTACTATGTGTCACTTCTCATAACTGTGTGGGTCACCCCTTCTTAAAAATATGTGTTTATGGATTTCACAGAGGAAGGGAGAGGGAGAGAGAGAGAGAAACATCCTTGATGAGAGAGAATCATCAATCAGCTGCCTCCTGCAATTCTCTACTGGGGATCGAGCCCGCAACCCGGGCATGCGCCCTGACCGGGAATTGAACCGTAACCTCCTGGTTCATAGGTTGATGTTCAACCACTGAGCCACACCGGCCGGGAAAAGTCACCCTCATCTCAACAGCTACCAACCATTTCTCTCGTCCTTTCCAGCCTCTGTAAAGGACGGACCCTCTATTCGGTGGTGCGCGACGCCAAGATCGTCTTGGATGTCAATAAAACCAGGCAGATTGCCCAAGAAATTGTGAAGGTACCATAGGGTCTGGGCCCCCACCCTCCGTGAACCTCAGAAAGACCGTGCCCCCTCTTGGGACTCATAATGTGGCTTCAGACCAATAGCCTGGGCTTAAAAGAAATCAGACTTGACTTGACAAATGTTATGCCAAGTGTATATAAGGATTTTGCCCCAAGATATAACCATTAGGGATGGTCTCTCAGTGTTTGGTTCCTATTGAGTGCCTTGTCATCATGATAATTGGACATGTACAGGGACCAGGAGGGGAACATTCTCCTTGTTAGAATCCTTTACTCCTCAAGTCCTTGAATTCCCAGGTGTGTTAGCCATCTCTCTCTAGCTGCTGGGGAAACATCCAATTATTGGATGTTGTTTGGAATTAAAACAAGCAGGAACATCCTGTGTTTTCTGGCAGATGCCTCATTAGTCAGTTGTATCCGGTCTTTTATTTCCATTGGAAGTGTCAGGACTAAGGGGTGAGAAGCAATAAAAATGTAACTTCTCATAAAGGCAGACAAAACTCTAGACACCCACCCTTGAGCTGCACCTCCAACAGGTACTTCTCCATGTTTTTGCTGATCGAGTCCTGTTATGTCTCTTGAGGAATGCAGTGT